TGTAAACCCCAGCTGTCCGGACTTTTATAGATATGCTTCTAGAACTCTGGGTAACCATTTTGGGACCTCCTGTTTACTGACCCTAACCCATAACCCCCAACTAGAGCACCCAGGGCCCTTGGTGACCGCTTTGTGAACGGCCTTGGGTGACCACATCATCCCTAAATGCTCCTTTTTTTGTTGTTGTTGAGACTGAGTCTCGCTCTGTCGCCCAGGCTGGAGTGCAGTGGCGCGATCTTGGCTCACTGCAACCTCCACCTCCCAGGTTGGAGTGATTTATCCGCCTCAGCCTCCTGAGTAGCTGGAATTACAGGCGCGCCCCACCAGCCCGGCAAATTTTTTTGTATTTTAGTAGAGATGGGGTTTCACCATGATGGCTAGGCTGCTTTCGAACTCCTGTCCTCAAGTAATCTGCCCACCTTGGCCTCCAAAGTGCTGGGATTACCAGCGTGAGTCACTGCACCTGGCCCCTAAGTGCTCCTTGCTCACCCCCTATTGGTGAACCTTATCTGTGACCCCACGTGACTCCTATTTGACCCTGTCTGGCGCCCTTGTCCCTAGAGCATGACTTCAGTGCTGGAACCTGTGTTGGACCTCACGTACCCAGTTACCTCCATGTTCACTGGGTCTGCCTTTAACCGCAGCATCCACCGGGTCTTCCAGGATAAACAGATTGAGGTAGGCCCACCCCGTCCCCTGCCCTGCCTGCCCCTCCTCGAAGGAGTCCCCTGCTCCTCCCCCACCTTGATCCCTGTCCCCGCAGGACCTGTGGCTGCCTTACTTCAACGTGACCACAGATATCACCGCCTCAGCCATGCGAGTCCACAAAGATGGTGGGTGTCCCCGCCCAGCCTGCAGCAACCGCTGATACTACGTGGGGTTGGGGGGATGCTTCCGGGAGGGCCGCTGAACATCTGGGACGTTGTTAACACGAGTGACCGTCCACCCTGGCCCGATCGCCGACCACTAACCGCCACCCACTAATGCCCCGGAGACCCCAGGTACGTCCGTCCTCGGCGGAGGGGAGCAGGGAGACTCGTCGGGCGCCTTACCCCCGTCACGCCATCCCCACAGGCTGTGTGTGGCGTTACATCCGGGCCAGCGCCTCCTACTGCCCCTACCTGCCCCCACTGTGCGACCCCAAGGACGGGCACCTGCTGGTGGATGGGTGCTACGTTAACAACGTCCCAGGTCAGCAAGCCCGCCGGGCTGGCCGGGCCTCCGGAGTGTCTGAGCGTGTCTGTGCGTGTCTGTGTCTGTGTGTCCCACCGCGCAGGCTCCCTGTGGCGGTATGTGCGCGCCAGCATGACGCTATCGGGCTACCTGCCGCCGCTGTGCGACCCCAAGGACGGGCACCTACTCATGGATGGCGGCTACATCAACAACCTGCCAGGCAAGTGGCTGCCCGCACCACCCACACACGCAAGCACCTCCCGCACCACACACACACGCATGGGCACACAGACAGGCTCAACGACGGGACACATGCCGAAGCCACTCGTGCAGGGGTGCAGACACACATACACACATATACAGTCATGTGCACAAGAGGATACATGGAGGTGCCTGTGGACAGCGACATGTGCAGTTGAAATTTACATCCTGGCCGGGTGCGGTGGCTCAGCCTGAAATCCCAGCACTTTGGGAGGCCTGAGGCAGGCAGATTACCTGAGGTCAGGAGTTTGAGATCTGCCTGGCCAACATGGTGAAACCCCGTCTCTACTAAAAATACAAAAAATTAACCGGACATGGTGGCGGGCACCTGTAATCCCAGCTACTCAGGAGGCTGAGGCAGGAGAATCACTTGAACCCAAGATGCAGAGGTTGCAGTGAGCCGAGGTTGTGCCATTGCACTCCAGCCTGGGTGACAAGACTGAAACTCCGACTCAAAGAAAAAAAAAAGAAATCTACATCTACCTCCTGGCGTGCTGTGTTAAGCACAAGTGGATGTACGTACAAGAGGGACAGGTGCCCATGTCCACAAGCACATCAGGGGACATGCAGGTGGAATGCAACATTCATATGTGTGCACACTGGCTACACACACACATGCTTTCTCTCAGGGGCAGGTAGAGCTCACACACATGTGTACACACAGGTACGTGTGCACAGATGAACACGTGTGTCAGTGAAATAGGGCATTTGCCTATGTATACCAGTCTGTCCCACTTGTCCTTCACGTTCCCTCAAACATGCAGGGATGTGCACACACATAGATAGGATGCGGCACCTCTGACCAAGTTAAGCCATGCCTGCCACCTTTATGGGTGCAGGTGAGAGGTGGGCAGGTACACAACTTAAAATTTCACACCCCAGAAGTGTGCATACACGAATAGACATGTACGCTAGCTGCACACATACTCACAATCTTATAGGAC